TAAAACGTCAAGATAGAGCAAATCTGACACCGGATTCGTGATCAGCATGCAAAATTAACCGCTAAATGATATCCATGTCGACATTTGATGAACTAAAAATTGCATTCCGGTTTTAAAGTCGACTTTCGGTTTCGTTTTTATTAAAAAGTAAAAAGTAAAAGTTTACATAACTCCCGGTGCCAAGCAAAAGTTTTCAGAAAATGGAGACATTGTAACAAAAAACATTGTTTTCGACGAAATATTTCGTGATATTTAATACACTTTTTACTTGCATTCTTGTATATTCTTGCTTATATTGTTTGTACTGATCTCTTAATTTTTCTCGCAAAATAAAAATTTCATTTAAAAAACTCGATGTTCAGTTGGTCCGCTAGTTTAATACCTAATTTAATATTGGATTCCATGCACTAACTATGGATTCGTGCAAAAAATGTGATTTGTATAATAATAAAATAAAGTCCTCAACAGTTCAAGCAGAAAAACGTGAATTTGAAGTAAGTAAAAGTAAAAAATAATAAAAATTTGAAAACACGATGAAGCTAGCCCACGAAGTTGTGGAATAGACCAAAATTGTTTAATATATAAAAGAATGCAAGAGTGAGCTAACCATCCTCTTTGTAGGATAGACCGATTTTAAAGAATCCTTTAAAACTTTTACAAAGGAGGACATACTAGTAATTCTGTTTATTCCAAAAAATTTCATTATTCCAAAAAAATCCATTATTTACTTCAAAAAATATTTAATACCAAATTTAATATTGGATTCCATGCACCAATTACGGATTCGTGCAAAAAATGTGATTTGTATAACAATAAAATAAAGTTCTCAACAGTTCAAGCAGAAAAACCTGAATTTGAAGTAACACGAACTGGTACACCAACAAAAAGCAGACTGTGCTAGATGTAGTATGAAACAAGATGCAAAGTATGCAACAAAATCCTAAAGAAATTACAGTGATTACATTTAACTTGATGCGAACGTTGTCCACACCAGTTATGAGCACTAGAATTTCTTACTATAAACGCCAGTTGTGGCATTACGTCTTAGGAGTCCATAAATTGGCTAATGCTCATATGTATGCTTGGAACGAGACACAAGCATCACGAGGACCTCAAGAAATAGGATCCTGTTTACTGCATCATTTTAAAAATGCTGTTACAACAAAAAATGTAATACTATATTCCGATCAAAGCGGAGGGTCGAACCGTAACATTAAAATGGCTGTCATTTGCGATTTTATTTTGTCATATCCTGATATTGTATTGTAAAATATTGATCATAAGTTTTTAGTCAGCCGACATTCTTACCTTGCCTGTGACCAAGATTTCGGAGTAATAAAGGAATAAAGATGACAGAAAACGATTTTTATTTTACTAAGAAGTTAGAAATAAATATACCTACCAAATCGCAAACTTGAGACACAAAAATCAAAAATCCAATGGTTATAGATTCAGTGGTTGCAATACAAGAAAACAAATCGATTTACAATTTACTATAAATACAGCAATAATACAGATGTTCTCTTTTACTCACCGGATGTGAAAAAAAGTACATCTAGGGAAATACTTTAGCTAGATTATCTTTATCCCGATAGACGCCCAATAACCGAAGCAAAAAAAGGTCTTTTGGAATTACTTTCATATTTACTTCCAATACATCATGGATTTTACACAAGCACCAGAACAATAACATCCACTATACAACGAGAAGAAGAGTTCACTAACGATGCAGATTAAGTATTTTTGTTACTTTATTTTTTAATAAAGCAAATTTTCAACATTGATATTGTTTAATTGTACTCCAGGTCTAATCCACATCCCTATGAAAATTTTTAAGGGCACACTGATGCAAAAATTGGCAAAAATTTGACGCATTCGCATTTCCGGATATGTCCGCCATCAGAGGCCACTTTTTTGGTCTCCTTTTCATAACGATTAGATTCTCTCTTTTGTCTTTTTGCTCGATGATTAAATCGCTGATGTAGTTCGTATAAATCGATTTCATCACATCTCAAATCTTTAATCGTGTTCAAATAATTACTAAAACGAGTAAGGGTTGCTTTGATTGAAGTACGATTAACTGTAACAGAAGTCATTTTAAATTTGCATCATATACACCCTGCATATATGTATTTTAGCAAAGACAAATTGAAATATATCGGTATATGTTTAATAGAAATAAATGTTAAAATTATTAATTAATCTATGTGATTGTAATAATTACTGCGTCGTTATTACTTCTAAAATGAATGTAAAAATTCAGTAAGTAAAATTTCCCAATGTATCACAGCAACGTATGTATATTGATGTACCGTAGGCGTGCTGCGAAGCATCGCAGAACCCGTGCAATTGTACTGAGGTTGGGTTTGGACAAGACACTTTTCGTGGTATTCTGATTGAGTTCAGTAATTGTAATTGAATATAGTTTTTAGTCCAAGTTGTGTGTAAGTCAGCAGGTATAGTTTCATCCCATGATATTTTGAGCTTCCAAAGCTCTTGGAGTATAATTTTTGCAGTCACAGTGACTGGTGATAAAAGCAACAGAGGGTCGAAAACCTGTGCAGTTGATGATAAGATTTGCCATTTTGTAAAAGGATGAGTTGAACCACTAATCGAGTATTGTAGGCAATCAATATTGGGGTTCCAAAGTAAACCAAGTGTTTTGGTTTGGTCACCTTCACCAATGTGCAAAGGGGTTTGGCTGACATTTGATAATGAGGCTGGATCATTTGAGATCCATTTTCTCAATGAAAATCCGTAACTTAAAAGGAGACTAGTGATTTGTTCCTTAATTTGTATAATCTCATTTATAATAATAATAATATATTTAAAAAACGAGTTCCCTCTGTACTTGTTGACACTAATAACAAAATTATTGTAAATGAGCAAGAAATAAGAAAAGAATGGCAGCTGTATATATCAGAGTTGTTTGAAGATGACAGGAATAATATTGTCGAATTCTACCAAAACTGTACTGACGGCCCAGAAATTATGAAATGCGAAGTAGAACATGCTATAAATAATGCTAAAATTAGAAAAGCTTGTGGTCCAGATGATACACCAACTGAGTTGATGAAACTACTGAGAATGATAACATAAAATTAGTAGTAAGACTTTTTAATTCAATATATAACACCGGAGTGATTCCCGCAGATTGGCTCAAATCCATCTTTATCGCAATCCTCAAAAAACACAATGCGAGAAAATTCTCAGAATATCGATTAATTAGCCTAATGAGCCACACTCTTAAAATTTTCCTCAGAATACTTCACAACAGAATTAGACGCAAATGCAAAGAAGATCTTGCAAGATACCCAATTTGGTTTTTTGGGAACCAGGGAGGCACTTTTTGTGCTAAACATTCTATTACAGAAATGCCGTGACCAAAGAAAAGGCATTCGATAAAGTACAGCATGTAAAATTAATGCAAATACTGAAAAATATCGGAATAGATGACAAGGATATTCGTGTCATTAAAAAATTGTACTGGAATCAAACTACTATCGTAAAAATTGGAGATAACTACACCGATGAAATCCCCATATAACGAGGAGTCAGAAAAGTTTTGTCGCCAACATTGTTCAATGTTTACTCGGACCAGCAATTTAAAAAGGCACTTGAGAGACAATGAGAGGCAATGTGACAGATGTGATTAGATATGCAGACGATACAGTAATTCTATCAGATAATATTGAAGGTATTCAAACTCTGCTTGATCGTATTCACGAGGTAGGAGAGGAAATGGGAATTAAAATAAACTTAAACAAAACCAAATTTTTAGTATTTAGAAAGTTCACAAAATGACATATTTGGGAACTGTGATAACGGAGCAACTAGATCCAGACATAGAAATAAAACGTAGAATAGCAATGACTAAAACTACTTTTATGAAAATAAAGTCATTTCTTTGCAATAACCATCTCAGTTTAGAACTAAGGCAAAGAATGGTTAAGTGGTATGTTTGGTTTGTACTTTTGTATAATGCAGAAGTGTCGACGCTAAAAGTATCGATCATGAATAAAATTGAAGCATTGGAAATGTGCGTTCATAGACGAATGCTGAAGATACCTTGGACAGCAAGAAAAACTAATGAAGAAGTACTAAGGAGCGTCAACAAAGACAGAGAACTGCTAAAGACTGGTAAACATCGAAAAATGTCTTATCTGGGATATATAGTAAGGGGAAGTCGATATAAAATTTTCAACTGATCCTTAAAGGCAAAATAGAGGGCCGTAGAGATGTAGGAAGAAAACAAGTTTCTTGATTAAGAAACATTCGTGAATTGACTCAGATACCAAATGCAGGACAATTATTCCATATAGCAGAAGATCGAGACGCCTTCGCAATGGTGATCGCCAACGTCGGATAGTTCTGATATGGCACGCGAAGAAGAAGAAGAATCTCATTTACAATATTATCTTATTAAAATATGACATGAAAACTTACGTGTTTTGAAAATAATCAGCTCTTACCTGAAACAAAAACACAACAGTTAGTTTTAACACTTAGTAATAATTAAACTTTACTAAAATTTGCATAGTTTAGTCCCTAATGTATGAAACATGAACTTGAAGAAAAATATTAACAGGCTTAATGAGTAAAATAATGAATTTTATTCAAATTTAAATATTTATCGTTCATATTTTATGCATTTACGTATTATCGTTAATACTTTTGGCAACATGAAATACTCTGAAAAACTGATAGCGGACTTCGTTTTATCTCTAATTAAACGGAATTTGGTCAAGGTTTGACCCATCTGCCTTTAGACTAGGTATGTTTTATAGGAACATTTGGAGGAATAGATTTTCTCAGTACAGCAGTAACGTATTTCTGCTCTCAATATGTTTCCTGTATTTTTAAAATTTAAATACTATCCGTAAAATTAAAAAAAGGCAATTTATTATTTGTTGTTTTTTTTTAATTTTAAATATTTATTATCCATCGACAACAAACAATACTAGGCAAAATGTCAGACGGATATAGAGCACACCAAAATTTTACGAAGGCGGAATCTCCTCCATTCTAGTCAACTGTATATATCGATCATTAGAAGTTGCAGAACCTCCAAATTCTCCAGTTCTCAGTCTAATTCTCATTCCCAGAGATCGAATGTCGGTCATTAGCCCCTTACATTTGTCGTCCAGATTTTTATCGATTCTAACTTTTTGCTCCTCCAAAGCGTTATAGGTAGCTGTAGCACAGTCGATTTTGTCTTGTAAATCTTTACGGGTTTGGCGAAGTTGGAGAACTTCTTCCTTTAGTCCTTTTTCCGGTTCGTCGCAACATAGCTCAACACCAGCTCTATATAAACGATTTTCCAATCGTGTTTCTGCCAACTTCAATGCATCAGTTTTCGTCAGAAGAGCAACCTCCAAATCTCTCATTTCCTTCAGTACCTCCTCCATTTCTTCCCTCATCTTGAGCTGTTGCCATTCGATTTGGCTTTTGCGATTTCGTTTGCCATTAACGAAAAGGTTAAGAGAGCCAGAAAATCCAAATGTGTTTTAAAATGGTTAAAAAAAGCCAGGGATAAGGAGATTCCCGTCAGTGGTCCCTTAAAAGAAGCAAATCTGAACAATTTGATTCAAATCATTCATCAATGCATTCCGATCCATTTGTGAAGACAGTGGGGCCTTTAATCAGCAAGAAGCCAACAAATGAAAAAAAAATTGGAGATAATTCAGGATATGGATGAAAGAGATATATTCAATGTTGACGAGAGAGGTATTTTTTTAAATGCACTCCTGCCAAAACACTGGCATTTAAAAATGAAAAATGTCACGGAAGAAAACTAAGCAAAGAAAGAGTCACTCTCCTAATTGGTGCAAACATGGACGGATCAGAAAGACTGCCTCTACTGATGATTGGTAAGTCAGCTAATCCGCATTGTTTTAAGAACGTCAAGTCAAAACCAGTGGGATATGTGAGCAGCGCAAGAGCTTGGATGGCTACAGATCTTTTCGAGAAATGGCTGATGAAGTTAGACAAAAAGTTTATAAAAGAAAAAAGAAAAGTTAGTTTGTTTATTGACAACTATACGGCCTACAACACTATCTCAGTAATGGAAAATGTAAAAAATATTTTTTTTCTGCCAACATGACTTCAGTTCTCCAAGCTATGGACCAGGTCATCATAAAAAATGTTTTAAAAAACATTTTAACGGACGTTTTTTGGTTAAAAACATATTGACGGCAGAAGATTGCAACCCCCTTAAGTGACATTCTTCAAGCCTCTCGAAGGTATAAGAAAGCTTGGGAGAAAGTAACACCCGAAACCACCTGCTAACATATTAAAAAGATATTAAATTAATAATAAAATATAAATAAATATCATTTGATAATAAATTTAATTAGCATATTACCTAAATAAGATGTTTAAAAATAATAATTATATTGATATGAAATTATTTTAAAATGAGAAGTGTATAAAAATTTAAACAGATGATTAAATTTTGTTATTAATTGAATGATATTTATGACTTTAAAATTTTGACAATCGTTATAAATCGAATCTTTTAATTGACAGATATGCTTTTAATTTTTTACTTCTCATTTAATATCTGTATTTTGTTAGTTATTTATCATGCAGATTTTAATTTAAACCTGCTAAGGATAAATATATATGGCTAGAAACAAATTGATTGAGAGTATTGAATCGATGTAAAGAACCGCTATATCTTGACGCTTCTTCTCGTGGCGCTAGTGATGCTCGTCTCAGCATTTTACTATAGAGAAAAAAGTAATACAACCCGGGTATAGAAGCTTTGCTTCAAAAAATTTACTAAGAGACAATATATAGCCATAAAGGGAAACGATGGGGTTATTTCCAACGTTCCCTGAGAGCACCAAACCCTCGTGGTAACCTGTCTTGATTTGTTACAGGATTTAAGCGTGGGTTGCTGATTCGTTTTATTACTCTTGTGGGAGTGAAATTATACACTTACACCTTTTTATCTTCGCTTTATTTGCTTGCACAATACTTTACATATATACACCTTGCAACACTAAACTGACTTATAATATAATTTGTAATATATCTTGTTGTGTGACACGGGTGAGAGAGAGAGAGAGAAAAGACGAGAGAGAATAACTTCTTTAGCGACTTCTTGACTTGAGCTACTTAATTCGACTGACCTTATGCTTATATGTAATATGTGACTAGCTTGGGCAAAGGAACAAAGGGTGAGCGGGTGTATGGGAGGCGTCAAATACGCTGAGGATGTCTGGTTATTTTTACTAATAAGAGCTAACATGTGATATTCAGGAACAGAGGCGGCGTTAGGTTAAATTGGAACAGTTAAAGAATTAGTTGGTTTTCCAACACCGGGTATAGTAGCTTTGCTTCAAAAAATTTACTAAGAGACAATATATAGCAATGGCGAAATGAAGTGATATACATGCAGTAAAATTGGGTATTATGAAGTGCGGGAAGGCGAGAAAAACCATCATGAACACTATAATGAGGCAATGCTAGATGTATGAACGGAATGTAGAGCAGTTAATAAAAAATTATAAGAATAATTGCATATTAACTTCGGAAAAGAATCGAATAAAGATACAAAAAATTGCGTCGTGCTAGAAAGAGTATGAGAAAAAGATTAAAGATCAAAAACCACATGGTGGGAGGCCGAGACATGATTAGACAAATTTACGATTAGTGTAATTACACACCAGTGCTATCTAATACTATCATTTTATGAGAATTAGGAATCGTCTAATTAATCCTAATAATTATTGATATTAAGAATATCCAGAATAGATAAGGGAGTTTTTTAGACAAAGAGAAAAACCTCTCAATAATGCAAAAAAAACCACAAGAATAATTTCATACGGGTTTTCTTCTTACAATTGACGACAAATCGCATGTAGCGGCAACGTCGATTCGAGAGCTAGTTGCACTAACCTACTTCACTGAGAGAAGTCGAGACACGAACAAAGAGAGCGCGCTACCAGCAACAACCGAGTCCACCCACACAACTGGGTCACTGGATTCATTCTTCTTCTAAGTCTTCTTGTTTTCGGTCGTCTGCTTCTTGTTATCTTGGGGTTTTCTTACAGTTTCGTGTTGTTAGCGACGCATGGAGAAAAAGTGGATTAATTGAAAGATACCAGATATGTGACACGTGACGACGGTATCACGTTTACCATTCCTCGCAGACTAGAGTAATTTCACTTTTAACAATAGTCTAGGCTACGGAATTTTTTTAGTATAAGGGACTAACGAAAATAAAGGTTAACGAGATATCGGAGATGTATTTTTCAGTCGGTCTATAATCATACTTAGCAACATTTTTTATTAAAGTTACTCTCTGATGTAGAATAATATCAAAGTTTACTCGTCTCTGTAGAGCAGTGGGATAGTTGGATTTAAGAAAAAAAAGATTCGGAATAGCAAAGGACATAGTTGGATAAAATTGTCAAAATTGCTCCAGGGGAAACTTGATCCAAATTGTTTGGTGTATTGTTCAGCATTTAACACATAACCTCAAAATTCCATAAAACGTCAAAAATTGTATTTACCATTTATAACTTAATTTTTTATAAAAATAATTTCTTTTTTTAATTAGAGTACATTGTTTACCGGGTAGGAAAAGCTTAACATTCCTGGACGACTGTGAAGATTGCTAAGTCGAGGCCTAAGCCGAGACTTAGCAACACAGAGTCCAGGAATGTGGCTTTTCCTACGAGGTAAACATACTATTTTTCCGCAAATCGTTTAAAATTCGACAGATATTTATTGATTTAAAAAAACGCGATAATTTTATTCCCAAATAAATGGTGCTTTGAAATTCCTAATAAAATTACTTGGGTTACTATGGAAACGTATTGAGGTTGAATTGTCAAACTTGACGCTTATAAATTTAATTGCTGGTGTTCTTGAAAGTAAAATGATAAGTGATGATGAAATTTCCATTCCTGGGACTCCTTCAGAGCTGGTTGAGGCAGTGAATACTGCTTCATTAGAATTATTGCCAAAGAAATCAAGAGAAAAGTACGAAAATGCATACAGACGTTTTATGGATTATCGCATGAGTAAAAATACGAGTTCTTTCTCAGAAAATGTTGTAATGGCATACTTCCTAGACCTTTGTTTAAAGATGGAATCTTCAACATTATGGGCCAATTATTCAATGCTGAAGTCAACCCTTGCACTTAAACACAATGTAGATATATCTACATACTCAAAACTTCGTTCTTTATTGAAACGGCAAGCTCAAGGTTATAGGGCAAAGAAATCTAAGATTTTAACGAAGGAAGAAATTGAAAAATTTATCCAGGAAGCTCCAGATAAAGAAAATTTAATGATTGAAAACCAACAAACCAAGATCATTTATAATTAATCAGATCTACTTGAATGTTTATCGAAAGTATGTTTCGTTAAGACCAGAAAATATGAACAGTGACCGATTTTTCTTTAAATATCAAAGCGGAAAGGGTTGTAGACAAGTGGTAGGAATTCATCAATTTAGAAAAATGCCCAAAATAATTGCTACTTATTTGAACTTGGTAAATTCGACAGAATATACTGGTCACTGCTTTCGTCGGTCTTCTGCAACAATATTGGTTGACTCTGGTGCCGACATAACTAGTTTAAAGAGGCATGGCGGATGGAAGTCATCAAACGTTGCTGAAGGATATATCGAAGAATCGCTTAACAATAAGGTTGAGGTGGCAAATAAAATTTTCACAGTACAAAATATTCAACAAAATGACACTTCCACCCTGCATGTTGTCCAAAATGTTTCTCATAGTTCTAAGAGTGTTCCTCCAATGTTCAATAATTGTACTAACTGTCAAATTACTGTAAATATAACAAATTGATCTTAAAAATGTATTCATCAATGACTTGATGTTTTCAAAATATAAATTAATTCCTTATAAGCAATGTGTTTTCTATCATTTATGTAGAACACTAACAACTGTACGGAAATATCATTTCCTTACAGTAAGGAAATGACATTTCCTTACAGTAAGGAAGTCCTGACTTTTTCTTCAAGAAATTTTGACAGGAATGTCAAAATTTCCTGGCGATTTGCGGAAAATTGTATTTTTTACTCATTTGAACAAAAATTGGAGTTGGCGGGAAAATGAAATTCATTTTCCCGCCAATTCATTCAAAAAATCGGTTTTTGCAGTTTTTTCTCTGTTTACTGACTTTTACTTTCAGTTAGTAAATTATATTTTCAATTGAAAATCATTTGAGACATTAGTCGACATCAATACCTTCAATTTGGACCCGAATCAACGAACCATTTTGGACTCTTAGAACAGTAGTAACGATGATTTAAAAGACGCAAATCTTTTAGACTCATTAGAGTTACCTCACTAGAGGTCGCTAGTAGCATACTCTGGTAATTATTTTTCCTATAATTGTCATACCAGTCGGTGCGTTTTGGTTTGGTTTGAGTCTTCTTACG